GCGTGCGTGTGTGTGTGTGTGCCTGGGTTTGTGTGGGTGTGCGTGTGTGGGCGTGTGTGTGTGTGGGTGTGTGTGTGTAGGTGTGTCGTGTTGCGTTGCGTGCGTTTGGCACTTGGCGCGGCGCGTGTGTTGTGTGTTTTGCGCGTTGGGTGTTGCGCGGGTGCGTGGGTGTTTGTGTGTGTGTGTCCACCCCTGCTACTAAGGGAACTCTTTCGCGTGGGTTTGAGCCAGGTGACAACTTTCCGAATCTCCTTTGCTATCGGCATGTCGGTTGGAGTTCGCAGTCTTAGGCAGCCGGCGCCTGTACGGATTGGCCCTAACAAATGTGGGTCAAGGAGGAACAAGCAAGAGGTCATGTAGGCCTCTGCCGTTCAAAAAAGCTTAGGCGATTGCAGGAAGAGGAAGAAGCGATGAGAACCCATCCGCAGCCTTCAGTGAAGCCACTTTGACGGTGTCGCACCAAAACCTTCCCCCTAACCAGAATATCAGAAAATGAGGTCGTTTAGGCCTCTGCGGTTTGAAAGCTTTAGCTTTCACGAAAAAATAGAGGCGATGAGAAGCACTTCTTTGCCGGCTTCACGTTGGACCAATCCGCAGCCATTTGGCAAAGCCACCCTCGACGTCTCAAAAAAAGTTTGAGGTCGCTCATGCCTCTGCAGCTTGAAAGAGAAATCTTTGATATCCACCCCACGGGGTACCGCGTCTTTGACGCCGGTTAAAGGACGGCCAAAAACAAGCCCCCAACCAACCCCTCCAAAAACAAAAACAAACTCAGCAAGTCCTTGGGTGTTTGTCACGCAGCTGGGATTACCGGAGCCCGTTTTACGCCCCTGACCGATAACTGAAAAGGCATGGAGGCAGGAAGGCTGACCACTGCTCTGTGTCTCTCTGTGTCTCTCTGTGTCTCTCTGTGTCTCTCTGTGTCTCTCTGTGTCTCTCTGTGTCTCTCTGTGTCTCTCTGTGTCTCTCTGTGTCTCTCTGTGTCTCTCTGTGTCTCTCTGTGTCTCTCTGTGTCTCTCTGTCTCTCTCTGTGTCTCTCTGTGTCTCTCTCTGTGTCTCTCTGTGTCTCTCTGTGTCTCTCTCTGTGTCTCTCTGTGTCTCTCTGTGTCTCTCTGTGTCTCTCTGTGTCTCTCTGTGTCTCTCTGTGTCTCTCTGTGTCTCTCTGTGTCTCTCTGTGTCCTTAGAGACAGTTGGGAGACCAGTGTGTGTTTGGGTGCTTGCTTTTGTGCGTGTTTGTGTGTGGTACATTTCAGGAGAAAATGCTCCTTCGGAAAATGGTTCTTGGGGATCTGTATTCATTCCGCTGATGTTCGCTCCATTTCGGTCTTCAACTGTTTACACTTCTATTCCATCGGTGAATGGTAAAGGTGTTTTTTGTTTTACTAGGTCCGGTTTTTTACTAGGTCCGGTTTTTCGCAAAGCTGCCAACACCCCCGGCATCACCAACATCACTTGGACCTGGGGTTGCCTATTGGCTCCGATTGGGGGGCAGTTGGGAGTTGCTGGGGGCTGGTTTAAGTTAGGGGGGTTCTGGCTGGCTTAGATCTTCATGAGGGTTCTTGGGTGCTTTGGGGTTGATTTAGGCGAAGCGGGCTGATATTCAGGCTGCTGTTGGGCGGGTTTAGGGTTGACTTTGAGTGGGTTTGGGGTGGCTTGGAGCTGATTTGTGTTAGGTGCGCTGCTGGTTTAGCAGCGGCTTTAGAGTTGCTTTAGGGTGTGGTTAAGAGGGTTTTGGTCGAACCCTCATGAAGATCTAAGCCAGCCAAAACCCCCCTAACTTAAACCAGCCCGGAGCAACTCCCAACTGCCCCCCAATTGGAGCCAATAGCCAACCCCAGGTCCAAGTGATGTTGGTGATGCCGGGGATGTTGCCAGCCACAAAACAGGCCACACAATGTCTCTCAAAAGCCGGCCCTAAGCAAACCAATGCAAGCCCACAACTGAAAAGTTGCCATTGACCTGATGGAACTGGCCCATTTTTTCCAGAATGCAAGGAACGTTAGAAAACAACAGGAGACCCGGAGCTCCGCCTGCCAGCATAGTCGGCAGTGACCCAGGTCTTCATGCTGGCCTCAGAAAAGCATGCCCCTTTTGCTTCGGTGTATTGAGGTGGTAAGCCACGCCTTGTGAAGGTTGTGACGGAGGTTTGCATGTGACTGTCATGTGGGAAAGTTGGCTAAAAGCACCACCGCATATGGTAAACAACCAGTCGAGAAACTCAGTGTTGCGATAACGAAGACTCCAACGGAAACATCTTGTTCGGGCATCTCATGGGATGAGCTTGAGTCTCTGGTGTGTGACGGTGTGCAACGTTGAACATGTTACAACATGCAACACGTATGCCCACCTGAGCAAGATTCATCAAGCCATTCTGGAAAAATGATGTGGAAGGCTCGTTTCAAGGGCAAGGCGGCAAGTGAACCTCGCGTTGCGCAAGCATGAGGAATGGCGGTGTTGGCGAACCTTGGACGTGTGAAGCGCAAAGTCAATGTGCCTCGGACCGGATGTGGGCAGTGACTTGCATGCACGTCGGCAGATTGTGGCTGTGGATTTGAAAGGCCCACACCGCTATGCGCTGGCTCACATGTAGGGAACTGCATTGCGAGCTACCTTCTCTATATGCCACTAAAAGCTATCCGACTACGGCGCCATGCCAATATGACTCAAACTGAACCCAAAAGAAAAGCACCCATTCAACGCGTAGCCATCTCAGCCCCTCCCCGAAACCCTCCGCCCCTTCCCCGGCTTCCAGGCGCCGGCGTTCCACCAAATGTCCAGCTGCTGCGCCGCCTCTGCTGCCAGCCGCCTCAGACGGCCGGCCCCGAGAGTCAAAGGCATATCGATTCGAACCAAATTGCCAAATTGAAATGGGCCGACGCTGCCCAAATCCATTGTAACCCAAGCCAAATGTTACAAGGTGTTCAGAGAAGAAAAAAAAAAAGCAAGCAAGCCTGCAACGCCCTTGGGCGATTCGCCGTAAATAGCAACTATCGAAGCGTCACGTCCAACCCGTCCGACTTTCGGCCAAAGCGCGCTTCCCGCTTGTCCCTGCGGGCCGCAGCCTCGGAATTGGACCTGGCCTCGCGAAACGGAGAATCTTCCATCGGCCCAAGTCACAACCGAGTCAGAGTATTCAACTATCAATTCAATTAATGAATTGAATACGGAGTCTGAGTCTTGGATGCAAAGCAATTGATGCAATTGAAAATGGCAGAGACCCTCAAGATCAGCATTCACGGGCAAGGCCTTGCTGCTACCCGGTTCGGGATCCTTAGCAGCTCAGAAACTGAAAGAATCGTCCTCCCTTTGGCGCAACCTGTCCTTGAAAAAACAGTATTGGCGGCATCTCTTGTCCAGTGTATCCGGCCCACATGATTACAAGGCTGGAGAAAAGGCTTGCTATGTGTTGTATGGGCAAGTCGGAACTTCTTTAGAGAGACGAACCGCACAAATAGGCTGACGTATTTACTATATGTCTGCATGGGTTACTTGAATGCTCCCATGCACAGTTCATGCACAGTGTGCATCGTGAACACTCACCATTGTTGTCAAATGCTCCGAGAAACCAAGACCACGCGTGCTCTTACCATGAATGTAGGTCTGGTACGAATGTACATGCATTACATTACATCACATTCCACTACATTGCATCACATTACACTGCATTGCATTACATTGCAGTACATGTCATTTCACGCGATTTCATTCCGGTACATCATGTCTTTACGACATACTGCTGCCAGCCAGCCTCCCAAGCAAGTTCTTCTGTCTTCCAGCTGTCCCAGCGCCACGACTAACGGCGCGTAGCTTATTCTTTGAGCTCACGCTGTAATTGCTTCCTTGACCACTGAAGCCACAAAGAATAGGAAAAGCCCCCCTTTTGAGGCCCATTTGCTGCTTTTGCGCAGCTCAGTTCCTCCTTCCCTTATCTGCGCGACCGAGCACGTGGCCCCTGTCTTGGGATCCAGAGTGCGCAGAAGCACCTGGCAGGTTGCGCCCCAAAAAGAGGAGCCAAACTTTTTAAGTCAACAGGTTCCATCAGACGAAAAGTACGTGGGATGCTCTCTCTCCCAGTCAACTTCAGGAAAAAAAACGGCTGCTTCGGCGATGGCATTCCAAGTTTCCATGGAAATTTCAAAACGGGTTTGGCATCCTTAGTTTGGAACTTTGACAAACGACTTAACAAAGTCAAAGCCAACTCACAACTGACGGCTACTCCGCAGTCTACTGCTTTGTGAGCGTGTCTGCTCAACCGGGCAACTCGCTAAGGTCGACTTCAATCAACTTTTGCCATAAGTCAACTTGCTCCTTGTCTCCTTTTGACTTCTGTCTGGCTCTCACACGGGGCCGGACCCGCCTGCCACTGCGATGCCCGGCCCTGTTCCGAAGCTCAAGCAGTCCCAAACCGAAGCTCGGTAGCACAGCCCTCACCGAAAACACTTGATGTACAGCTCAATGGGCAAAGCAAGGCGGGCGCTGTTCTCGAAGCTACGAAGAACAAAGACAATGGTTGATAAGGTAGATATCATGCAAGGTATTGAAGTACTCAGTCCAGAAAGGGCCAAATTGGCCGTCAGCCTTTACATACTGTTGCAAGTGGTCTTCTCCCTTCAAGCCTCCTTGTTTTGATGCTCTTCTTGTCATGCCACCCTTGAACAAGAAGCTGGTTTCGCCTCACGGGTGGCATGGAAGCGGAACTCCTTCTTCTGCTGGAACTGGCCCTGCACAGGCACTTCTGTTTTCTGAAGCACTGCCATCTCGGGGACCCAGAAATCCAGAACGCTTCTGGAGAATGGACTTCCAGAGATTCTTGTGCTGGCTGGAGGTGGACAGTGCACAAAAGTGCAGCTCTACTTCTTCCCAAAGGCCCAGCTAGCACGTGATAGCATCCAAAGCCCAACATCTTTCGTTCTCAGAGCTTGTCAGGGCTTAAACAGAATGGCTGCAATATAGCGTCAATGCAACTTGTTCCAAGAGCCCCTGTCCGCCTTCTCCCGATTCCTAAGCCTCCAAAAGATCAAGAAGCGGTTGCTGAGTAGGGCCACCAGGTCCTGAAGTTCAAAACTCTGATCGGAGCCAGGAATGTGAATGGGGACATTCCGTTCACCCTAGCCGGCAACATGAATAGAGCCAGTATATACGTATCGTGCATATTGGGTGATCCGTATCTTTACAATTTGGATGATTTGCATCTGTCGAAATTGCACGGAATGGGAGGACGGGCTCATTGCCTGAGTTGCTTTAAGCTCTGAATTCTGAGTCACTGTCGGCTCCTGGGCATCGTTGTCCCATGCCACAGCATGCACTGTCCATAAGGGCCTGAGGTAAAGGCCAAGTAGATGGCCAATGAAAACACTGAAGGGAGAACAAAGAGAGTCCTGCAGTCAAAGATGAGAGCCACGGCAAGTCAATGACTGACCTTCTGGCAATGGAACATGACATGGCCAAAAAACATGGGAACACGTGTTGTTGTGTTCAATAGCCTCGATCAAACTCCGTTGCGAGGCATGGGCCGCGTCATATATTCACTCGCATGATGCACTTTGTCAGGCCGACGATATATCAAAGTTGAACGTTCTCTCATCTTCAGCTCGATTTGGGGGGAGGGCGCAATTCAAGTCTCCATCTTCATCATTTGGCCTAGTGTCCCGGACAATATTGCTTAAAGTCAACAATTAATCCAAACCTGGCGACTTTTGATGCTCGAAGAAGTCCGCCGGCAGCTGCGGTGTCACCTGACATGCGGCCGCGTTCCCCTGCTCGCATCTTTTGGGTTCAGCGCGGCGAAACCACGTTAGGTACACGCAGGGCCTAGGTGTCAAGTGAGCTAAATATGATTGTGTTCAATGCAGCTTGCAACAAGAAGGCAGAGCACTTGCCACTCTCAATGTGCTTTACTGTACTTTTTAGTGTCCCCCACTGCGCTGGCTGTCTGTGCGTCTGTGGTGGCAAAGGTAGATCAAAAATTGCCGTGCAAAGGTGGTACATGCGACAAAGGCCCATCCAAAGAAGAGCACTGTCTGCTGTGTTTCACCAAAGCGCACGATGTGCACGGCAGCTTGCCCAACTCATGCCCCCAACTCGCACCATGCGGCTCTCCCAGGCCATGGTGGGTGACCAGAAGTACACCGACTCGGTGCCCTCCACCTGTGCAGTGCGCAGTGTGCAGTGCGCCCCTTCCCAGGTGCGCTGCTCCTCCCCTGCACAAACTCATAAGCACAATGCAAGATGATCCACTCCCCCAAAAGCAAGTTTGGGTACTCCAGCTCAATATGAGCACGTGCAGTCGATTTCCGCACCGTGGTGAGCATCTCGAGCGAGGGCATCCAGTTGATCTTCCGGATCATGGAACCCTGGGCACAGTTCCACCCTCCCAAGCATGGCAAAGGACCACAACAAAAAGCCTGGCAGATTGGCATCCAAGGTATCTTAGCGCGAAATGGTTCATGTTGACAGGATCTGCTCTGGTTGGTAGTCTGTGCCAATGATGCCCAGCAGGAACTTGAAGAAACCGGAGCAGCATCTTTCAACTGGTGCTCTGACTCAGGGGGAAATGCAAAGGCATGCTGATGACGGAACGGTGCGCCAAAAAAAACATATGTTAGCAAGAGTTGAAGCAAGCCAAATTGTGGTTTTGCCCAAGCAAATTGTAGAGTCACCAGGAAGAATTGGAAGTCAAGGCAGTCCAAGCTGCCACAGACATGCTAGCGACAAGGCAGGGCAATCAAGCAATGACTCAGCCATTTGGTGCGGCAGCCAAATGGGGCTCTGACCATGTGTTTGGCGCAGTCTACCAAATTGCTGCGTCGCACCTCTCATGGCCATGTCTGTCCCCCTCCCAGTATGAATGCTCGGACCGCAGAAAAAATGCAGGCGCTCCTCGCTATGCACTCATTAACTCCTTGGGGTGATCAAAGCTTATTGGCGGCCTCGAGCTGGTCAAAGCTGATCATCCTACATGCTGCCAACCGGGCCTGCCATTGCCGGAGAGGCTGGCCATGTGCAAGTGGACTGAGACACCAACTTTACCCGGAAAGAGAACTTTGAATGGGATGCAAAGCAGTCTCTCAACCTAACAAAGAGAGAGAGAGAGAGAAAGAGAAGCAAAACTGCGAAAAGAGAGAGGGAGAGAGACAAAAATGCAAAAAGAGAGAGGGAGAGACAAAAAAAGAGAACAAGAGAGAGAGAGAGAGAGAGAGAGAGAGAGAGACTGTAACAACAAGAGCGAGACGACGCTCCGTCGGCTCCATCTCACCTGCGCCAGGTTGGAGGAGGAACTCTTGGGGCCCAGTGATGCCACCTGCCCGAACCGCAAGCATGCCAGCGAAGTGCCCGCCAGCGTCCCGTTCGACGTGCCTCGTTGCCCTCAAACATGACGATCTCTGGGGACTCAATGAAGTGGTTCATGAGCTGCGGTCAGGGCAGAAGCGAAGGTTGAAGCATGTTGTTGTTTTGTCGAGTGTTTGGTGTTGCTTTTCGTTGCTTGGTTGTGCGGCGTCTTCGCTACAGTGCAACCATCAATGTGAAATGTGGCTGGGGAAGGGCGGGGGCCCTTTGTTTAGGGGGGCTCTTAGTGCCAAGCCCGTACAGCTCCTACCCTCTGTACGAGGGAAAGAACCATGCCTGAGCCCACTTCACCGCAGGCTCCGCCGCCCGCTCACTTTGAGAACGGAAGACCTGGCGAAGACTGCGCAACAGAGAGAGTCGACTGAAAGCTTCTCTGATTGTAGGCCTCAGAGCTTTCTTTTCCTGCATTTCAGTGCCGTCAAGGGACCCAAGGGAGCCGCTGCAGACTTAGACCCTTCTGTCCTGCACATGCGTCGGCCGCTGACCAATTCAGACCTCTGAGGTTCTTTTTCTTTCTCAAAGCAGCCCTCGCAATCCGAGTCAATCCAAGTCAAGTGCCAGCCACGCTGGCCCCCCGAAACTGTAATGATAGCCCAGAGCCAATTCTAAGTCCACTGGCCAAGATCTAACAAACTCGCCTCCAAGTACAGGTCGACGACTCCGCTTACAAAGGCCAGGATCTGGCGAAAAGCAGGGGCTCTTAAAGAGATTTTGTTTAACAAAAAAAAGGAGCCTTCACCTGACATTGAAAAATTGTGGCGGTTTGGTTGGCACTTGCCCCAAGCATTGAGCTCCAAGCTTTCGCCGCAGCAACGAACGAGCACTCAACAATCTGAAATTACGGCCCTCAGAGAAAGAAGGCAGGGAATGATCATAGAAGTTAGCATCAACACCTTCCAGACTGGGGGCCCATGGCAAAGCAAGGCATTGGTCATTATGTCATGGACGTTCCACTCTGACCTTGAAAGCCGTCGTCAGCTTCACCACAAGCGACTCCAACACTAGGCTTGCAGTGCCATCCCCTGCTACAGGCCGCAAGAAACAAGCGCATTGGACCCAGGCGCAACTCGCTCTGAGGCCGACCCACCCTGTCGGCATCGTAGGTGCCCGTGCTCACAATTGCCTCAGCGAGTGGATTGAGTGCGCATCTGAAAAATGGCATCTGGCAGTCGCGCTCCCTTGTTGTGCCTCTTGCGCTTGCAATCCCATGACAAGCCAACTGACTCATCAAAATCCAAGCCTGTTAGCAGGAAAGCGAAAAGGAGATGTGCCGGCTGGCCCAGCTAGAGAAATATCCTGCAGACTCTGTAAGTCAAGCGATGCTACGAGGAGGATTGAAACAAATTTGCAAAAGGCGGTCGCTTCTTTTGGGTGGAGTGAACAAGAACTCCTGAGTTTGTTCTGCCCTTTGTCCGAAGACTGCCTGCAACACAAATGGGACAAGAGAGCGCAAGCCTTTGAGGTTCTCATGTGCAGAAAGCTTCCGCAGGGCTCACTTTCCCGAACGGGCCTCTGCGAATTCGGCCAAGTCCAAGTTCGAGCGGAAGC